TGCAAGCATCTGAGAAAAGGAGCGCGTCTGATTTCGCTCCCTTGGTGACGTTGCAAAGGGATCTCATTATAATATTACCGAGTTTGAGCAAAACACGCTAACTGTTCTGTCTTTGGCTGCACAGACTAGCACAGAACACTGTTTAGAGTCCCAGCCTCAGAGGAGACAAGCAGTGTATTTATTGGTTTATTTACTGTATATTGCTGCTGCCACACAGATCTAAAATAAACGTGATTTATTTCCCAGCAGTTTACCGTCACAGACATAACTCGTGTGTGTTTTTAATGTAAACTTGTGTGTGAATGAGAACTTAGTTTAGTACTCACATGCTGTGACAGCCGCTTTCTGTGCGTGTGCTTCGGATGTGTGCGCTCAGAAAACCGTATATCAGAAGTTTAAACTCATATGGTTTAAAACGCATGATTTCAGCGCGATAAACATGATAATCAGAACCAAAACAGATGTTTTTAGCAGGTCCAAGCTGTAATGGTGCAGCTCTATTCTGGAAAAGGGGGCGGGGAGCAGCAGCTCATTTGCATTTAAAGAGATAGGCCCGAAAAACAGCGTGTTCCTGCTTCCACTCAAAACGATATAATAAATGATCTGTGGAGTATTTTGAGCTGACACATTCTGGGGACACCAAAGACTTATATTACATATTGTAAATAGGGGCATAATATGTCTCCTTTAATACAATACAAATACTACAAGAGGCAACTGAGGGGTTCAGGGTTTTTCAAACTGGGGACCACTAGGGGGATCCGTGGAAACAAAATGTGAAAATAAACAGTAAAAAATAAGAAAAAAAAGTAGGTTAAAATAAATAAAATATAGATTAAATATGTAATTTCTTCATTTTTGTCATTTATTTTTGTCTATTTTTAAGTAATAAATGAGTAAATAATAAACCTACCAATACAGTACAATAATAATGTAACTAAACACTTTCCAAATAATATTTTAGTCATATTTATAACATGAATCTTCCACAGTCTAAATTTGGCATTTAAACAAAATACCATACAGATGCTTTTTAAATTTTAGGATGGGGTCCCTCACACAAGGATGATAGTATTTGGAGGTCTATGGCATCTAAAAGATGAAGTTGAAGTAACACTGCAAGTTTCTTCAATGATGTTATTAAAACACAAGCACCATGGTGCTTCCAAAGTGGCCTGGGTGTGGAATTTAGATAAGAAATAGGTAGGTAGGTAGCTTTTTATTGTCATTCAACTATACATACAGAATGCACATATGAACGAAATTCCATTCCACTGGCTCATAAATACTGCACTAAACTAAACACGTACCATAAAATCAGTATAAAAATATATATATAATAAAAATTGCAACAGTGTTCATTTAAAAGAATATAGCACTTAAAGGAATGACAGCAGCATATAAATATTAAATAATGCACATAGTAATTAGCAGCATCTAAAACAAAATTATTGCACTTATTAAGCAGCAGCATATAGTACAATTATTGCACATCGTAAAAAGTACTATTATTTCAATGTCCACATCTAGTACACATAAGACTCACTACAAAAAAGATTCAGTGAAATAAAATGGTTAAGAGGTTATTTTTGAGTTCAGAAGTCTGATAGCTTGTGGAAAAAAGCTATTACAGAACCTTACTGTTCTGCACCGAATGCTGCGAAACCTTTTTCCAGAGGGCAGCAGCGTAAACAGTCCATAATGAGGATGGGTAGGGTCTTTTGCAATGTTTTGAGCACGAGTCAGACAGCGTTTGTGTGCGAGTACCTGGATGGAAGGCAGTGAAGAGCCAATGATCTTTTCCGCTGTCCTCACCACGGTTATATGGTGAAACAGCCCTTGCTTTCATCACTTCCTGCGTCTTTCAATAAACCCACACTGACCACAACAGCTGACCATGTGTATATGCTTTAAAGGGCTTTTAATAGCCATGCATGCATGCATTCAGCCTCAAACTATTCAGAAGTTATGAAGAAGTCAATGTGAATTCAATCTGAATGTAAACAAAAAGTATCAGCTCTTAGAAAGTGATTCAACTATCACACACATTAACCATGTTCGAGAATGATTTACCAGTTTAACAGCAATGCAAACAATATTAGAGCTCATAACAGTCAGTTTAAAGGCGATCTTAAAGGGATAGTTCACCCAAAAATGAAAATTTTCTTTCTTAAATCTCTTTTCAGCTGGCAAATGTCCTTCCTGGACGCTCATTTTACATTCACGTTAACAGAATTTTTTTTAAAAGTTTTAACACCGACAACCACTAACCGAAGTCACGCTGTTAGCATGTCAGCGTCAGTGAAGACATCCAGGAAACATCTCAGGAAACAAAGATACGACCAATCATTTTCACCTGGCGGTCAGTCCATGTGCAGAATCTGTCCATTTATCTAGCGCTTTCTTTCTTTCACACGCTGTAAAGACGTTTTGGGAATTCTCACATCTATTCATTTGGAGAAATTAACATGTGCTTTGATAGGGGTTTCAGTACGGCCCTAAAGGATGAGGAAACGGCCATGTTGGCTCTTTGTAAAGGCGGTAAATGCAGCTCTGTCTGTGAGACTCCACCAGCATTCAGAGCTCCATACAAAACCCTCTGACCTCTTTTGTCTACCCGGGACTACCAAGCCCATTTGATTAGGGCCTTTTCTCTTCGTTCTCTGTTGTTTTTTCTTCTTTTAATTGACCGGTGGGTCCAAGAGTAAGAAAAGGGCATCAGGGTGTCAAACTTAGTCGCCTCATTTTCAGTCAGTGTTTTCTTTTCTCTCTTTCTCTGGTGGGAATGCAACGCCCGCTCGCTCTGGTGGCTCTATTCCAATGGGAATCCCAGCTATAGCGCGCATGGTTTAACAGATGTCAGGCCCGCTCCGATCAGACCCCCCGCTCAGATTGTAACAATTAAACTCATTAGAGAGAAAAGCAGAACAGAGTCACTCCTCATTTGATGATGGTCAGCATATGCGGTGAAATGGTTTTGTAGTAAATCACTTAAGAGCAGCAATTAAACTGCTCTTAATTCATACAGAGGTATTTTTGGTGCCTCACTATCGGATATTGGTATTGACATGGGTGTATTGCATCTTCAGCAGATTTTGGTCTGCAAATGAACAGGATTTATTTTATAAAAGCCATTTAAGTTACATTTATTAACATAGGTCTTCTGTGATTTCATGACGGGATGAGATATTGTTGACTGTGGTTTTACCGAAGGTCATGTGAACTCTTATTGGACTCTCCTAACTTAAGGAGAGTTAATTTTCTTTTTATGTTGGATGGGCAGTTTAACCACAAACTGTTATATTACTCAGAAATGTGGCAGAAAGGTCTATATAATGAAGGGGCAATTAGCTTTAGTTAAAGTATTCAACAAAAGTATTTGGATAAAAGTGTTATGGAAAAAAATATATATATAATACCAAAATGGCATGGATGGAGGATCCTTACCTTAAAGGGATAGTTCACCCAAAAATGAAAATTAGCCCATAAATTACTCACCCTCAAGTCATCCTAGGTGTATATTTTTCTTACAAAAACGCATCGATTCGCTACAGAAGCCTTTGTTCACCCCCCGGAGCCATTTTATGGATGGGCGCTTTTTATTTAACTTGTTTTGGACTGAAGCATGCAACACCCGCTGAGTGCCATGAAACAGCTTGAAAGATCAAAGACTATTTTTAATATAACTCTGACTGGATTCGTCTGAAAGAAGAAAGTCATATACACCTAGGATGACTTGAGGGTGAGTAATTTATAAATGAAAATGACATCCAATTTTCTGAAGACAGTCGGTTTCCTTCAGAAATACAGTGATATAAAAACACCCGCACTCAATGTATGGGAAACACTGTAGTCTCATAATTGAAGTGTAAATTCTGCAGATTACATCATTGTCCAGTATCCTACTGTCAGCAATTTATTACAAAAACGTTTTCATAATTGTAACATACATATTTACATGCATAATTTTTCAGGTGCATGTGTAATAACTTGCACTTCTTCTTCGTCCTCGTCTTGTCTGATGATGCACTCAACCAAGCATTCTAACCACGCCCTCGCCAACCATTCGAATTTCCGTAGGCGGGATTTATTTTAATGATATTCTAATGGGCCGCTTTGTGACATCACAAAACCCCGGAAAACAAACGCTGTAGTCCAAACGAGCCGTTCGTTGTAGTTCTTGAAAAGGGATTTAAAAAAAAACGAAATATCTCCCGTTGGATTGGACTTCGAGATTTGTAACTTTGAAGATCTTTTTTATGCCCAAACATACACACTACACACTGACTAAAATTCAAAAAGTGAAAAAGCATAATAGGACCCCTTTAATTATCCATCAAAGCGCACACTTTAAACTTTTTTTTTTTTTTACACACAAACCTTTAATTTCACACAGTTTCCACATGATTTAAGGAGCTGGTGTTAGAAAGACTGCCACTTTGAGGCAGAAAATGGCAAACAGATCTGGGTAGTAACTGATTATATGTAATCTGGATGCAGATTCCAAAAATTAAGTAGGCCTACTTGTAATTAGATTAAATTACATTTTAAAAAACATATACCCATATAAAAAAAAATTACAAATGATAAAAACGCACAACAGATTAATAAAACTTCAAATCTAAAACTCAAGCTGCGGGATGTCATGAACAACAAACCCCATAGGTGCGTCCCAAATCGCGTACTTATGCACTGTTCTATGACGTTTAGTAGTATAAATGGTGCGAGTAGCCCGTTCAAACTGAAAATTCCAAAAAGAAAAAGTGCACTTTAAATACCCGGATGATGCACTCAAATAACCGAAAAAATGAAGTGTGGAATGTTGGACACTTCATGCACTCAATTGTCGCAGTTTTAATTACGTACCGAAGCGGTAGGGTCTATGAGTCTCCGATTATGAATGACAAAATAACCTTATATAATTCATACTATACATGGTTGAGTACATAGTGCATAAGTACATAGTGTATGAGTGCGTAGTGTATAGTGCGTCATTTGGGACGCAGCTCATGAGGAAGTGCGTGACGTTCCCGTGATCCCTTGCGCCAGAACGCGTTTGTTCCGTAGAGCTTCACCATGGCTAGCGACGGGCCGCCGGGCGCTGATTCAAATGTAGACTTTAACACATGGACTCACGGCGAGCTGCAGGCCAAACTGGCCGAGTTTGTAGCACCTAATATGGGTGAGATGAAAACGTTTTATTGCGGTCGCTGTGGCGGAGTTTGCCTCGGTTTTTCACTCGTTAGCTAGCGTTAGCCTGTTATGCTCCTGTCTGCTGCTCAGGCCTTTAGTACACTAAACTTCGCGCTAAAGCGTGCTGCACATGTAAATATGTTTCATGGGAGGCTGTATTTATGGCTATATTTATATTTATTCGGGTAGTAAACACGCGTTTGGTTGTAATTGGCGTTAGCTACTTAAACACACCAGCACACATTAAACTCACGCAAAACGTGTTTAATGCAGTCCAGTGTTGTTTATGATATCCATTTGTGCTTTCTATCTTTTTTTTTTCAGGTCCCAGAGAGGAGCTCATAGACAGACTGAAATCTTATGCACAGGTCAGTTAACTGCAAACTTTTTAACTGCAAATCTGCCCGTAAATTGGATTTCCTTTTATGAACATTACATTTTTGTTTCGTCTGCAGTCTGGGATGATTTTAACTAAGCCGAACATGTCAGGAGGAGATGCCAAGAGCATGACTACGGTACTGCCATGTTTCGTTTATTCTCTTTATGCCTTTGTGTTTGTAATTAGTTGTGTTAGCAGTGGCAAGTATCGCTGCCGTTTCCTTTATTTGAGAGCCAGAGTATGTTGTGTGTCTCAGATGCCAGGTCTGCCGCCCATGCCCCCGATGCCCTCAATGCCCCTGCCGCCGGGCATGAACATGATGCAGGCCATGAACATGATGGGGGGCCCTCCACCCATCCATATGGGCATTGAGCCGCCCGGCATGATGCAGCACGATGACAGAGCCGCGCAGGTGAGAGAGACACAACTGTGTGTAGATTGCACTGCGATGCTGATCACAGTTGCGTGGCAGGGCTCCAGACTGCGGCCATCTTTTCTGTCGGTGCAAAAGCGTAACAAAACCGTGCTACAACCTGGTCCGAGCTCAGAACAGGTTTACTCTGGAACCAGTGCTAATCTCTCCACACTGTTACTGCACACACAGAGCTGCGAGATCCAGTGAGAAGCGCTTGCATTCTGCTCAGAATTCTCTGTTATAAACCGATCAAACAGCACTGACGTAGAAAACCAGAAGTAGTAATGCTGATTATAACCATGCTGTTGTGGCAGAAATAGTCGAATGTTATTACATTATTCATTTCGGGGTTTGTTCAAACTTTTTGAGAGCGAAATTCAAGCACACAACTATTTCCAGCACTTTAAAGCTCTAAACATGATCCAATTTGAATGATATTTTTAAGGGAATGAGCAAAATATGCTTTGTGGTAAACAAACACTTATGGAAAAAAAAAAAAAAACCGACATCAAATTAGCACTGTAACCAGTAGATGGCAGCAGAGGAGCACTTATTGGCTGATTAGTCATTCATTTCCACTTCTTGCTTTATAGAATATCAAATTGTGTCAAATTTTTGCACTTTTTTTTTGCATATGAAGTAAGAAAAGTCACAAAGTGCCTTGAAAAACAAACTTTTCTTCGGTTTGCGACTGAATCACACATAAAGAGCAGTTCAGTATAATACTATAGAAGAATAATGGTACATTTAATAAGAGTAGAATATATACATTTCCTATATAAAATTAGATTTTGCACTCGTTATTGTCGTTAATAAAAGTAAATTTTGTATGCTTCCCAACTCAAGCTCAGTGCTTTACTGTCAAATGTGTATAAACGTAAAATGAACATGTAATATTATTAGGAACTGCACTTATTAATGCAAAATAATAGTAATTTTACGATTAAATTCTTTATTTTTAATACTCCCCATTAAGTATTAATGGCAGTATTAAATGGGAAGCTTTATTTATTTAGAAATAGAAATCAGTTCCAAATAGGGCTAGGTTTTGACACAAATTTCACGAGTCAATTCTCATTCACAAGCTTTCGATTCGATTCAATATCGATTATTTTGGATATATGTCAGGTACAGTACATGCCAAATTTTCTCAAGGAAAAAAAAACCTCAACTAATGCTGTAAAATATACATGAGAGTCAGTTGGTACTACATTACTATAATATTGAAGGTTAAAATTGACTGATTTGCAGGCTACACAACTGCTAAAATTACACTTAATTACGTTTTTAAAATAATAGTTACAATTACATAAAATTTCTACTTCATTTCGTTTTTTTTTTTATTGGCTATAAACATTTAAATGGTAGCTGTCATAAAACTTGATGGATTTATTCAAACATAAGTTAAACATTGAAGAACAGT